GAGTGGGCAGGCAAGGTCACTGAATATTTAAGAGAAGATTCTAGTATGAGTATCAAGTAAAAACAAAGAAAAAAAAGTATATTCAATGAAAAACATCATTGAGGGAGACAAAATTTCCAGGAGAAAAAAATCATTAATGTTTTCAGAAAGCGATGTCACAACCATAAAACAAGACTTTTTTGTTATCTAGAGAACAAAGAGATCATGGCAATTAAAACCATGAGAGAAATGAAAAAAAAATTAGAAACGTTAGAAGAAAAAGTTAAGGAAATTACATGTAAGGTGAAACAAAAAGATAGATGGAGAATTTGAGAGAAAAAAGTGTGAAAATGAGAGGACCAGACCTCAGTATGCAACATCTAAATAACAGACTGCCAGGAAGAGAAGACACAGAAATGGGGAACATCAAAGAAGTCTATTCAAGAGAAAAAACTAGAAGTAAAGACATAAGGTGTCAGTGGTTGTGCCTAGAAGATGAGATTCCCCCCCCTTGTATGTTTTTCTTTATTTTCCGAATTATCTGTAACAAATACCTTTTAGAACTAGAGGGAAATGTGTGGTTTTAATATTACCCACACTGCCCTAGAAAATTTAACTCACAGGTGGTCCATTTTTGATAGAATGGAGGTATAAAAGAGCATGTCAAAAGGGGCAACCTAAAAAAAAGGGGGGGGCAACCTAAGTTCAATCATTTAATCAGAAATTATGTCACCAGGACCAAGGTCAGACTCATGGTCCTGTCTGCAGGAAAATACTGTCCTCGAGGGCCACCCCAAAACAAGCCACAGCGCTATGTTGGGTATTTGATTTTTATTCCCATTCGAACATCTTCATTACTGAGCACTCATTATTCTCCATGAATCCCCCTTGGGTGTTTTGGGCCATCAGCCCCTGGCATATCAGAAGATGAACCATTCTGTTCTGGAGTCCTCTACGCATGGCTGAGCTGTTCCTGCTGCTTTCATCTGCTTCCTCAACCCTCAATCCTAATGTCCCTCTTACAAAAAAGATTTGAACCTTAGAAACCTTCCAGACTTGAGGTGGCTTTTTGGTGGCCGCTGACCTTTTGCAAAGGGGGCTGGTTTTGGAGCTACTTCTTCCTCATCCTATAAATTTGTGAGCCTGTGGTCTCACTGGTGGAAGATGTGAGCATGAGCTCCGGGGCTGGAGAGGGAATGTTGAGCCTTCCAGCTGATGCTGACCATTGTGGTATTTTCTTGGAAAAAAGCCAGTACAGAGATTGAAAGCCAAACCACAGAATGTATCTGTGATTTAACTTCCAGACACTGTTGTCTTTGTAGGTCAGTGGTTATTATTAGCTTGTTATTAACAGTTTGGATGGCTGGTATTATGTTTAACTTTTTTATTATGGAAAAATTGAACCGTCCAGAAGTCGAGTGGAGGTGTCACAGTCCCCCACATACCCGTCAGCCAGCTCCAGGAGTTGCCCACTCATGGTCCATTTTGTTCCAGCTCTGCTCCAACCCCCACCGCCTGGGTTATTTTAAAGCAAATCCCAGGCATCAGATCACTTCGTACAAAAATACTTGGTACATATCTCTAAAGTACAAGTGCTCTTTTAAAAAAAGAAGAACCACATTATTATCACACTTAAAATTTTTTTCTTAAGGTTTCCTCAAATATCCAGGTAGCGTCCCTTTCCCCAGTTGTCTCGGACACTGTTTTTGTAGGTGTTTTTTGAAATCGTGATCCAAATAAAATCCATACTTTGCTCGATATGTTTCTTAAGTAGTTTTAAAAATCCCTCCCCGTCTCTTTTTCCTTGAAATTTATCTCTTAGACAGATGGAGTCATTTTTCCTCTCTACATTTGAAAATAAGTGTAGTGAAGTACCAGATTACTAGGGCCATTTCAAAATCACGATAAAATGTTCTACATTAAAACAAACAAAACTTATGAGAAAAATGTATTTCATGTCTAATTACAAGTCACCTTCTCATCGAGGCTACTTTGTGTACAATTCCGCTGTCCTCTAAACCCTTGGCCTTCTATATCTTCCTGTCCTATTTTCTGTTTTCCTCTTTCACTCAGCCCTACACACAGCTATATTCCCCATATATTAATATATTTTACTGTGTGATACCTTCCTCCTCTCTAGAATGTAAGCTCCACGAAGGCAAGCGTTTTGTGCCTTTTGTTCTCTGCTGGATCCCCAGCACCTGCGTCATGAATGGAGACACATAAAGGCAGGGCAGAAACAGGGTTGAGGATAGCTCGATAGGGAAGCAGCAGAGGGGCACAAAGTAGCCGGGAAAGTATCCCCATGCACTTCGCCTTTTGATTTACGTTCTCCACTGGCATCAGAGACCCCTACAGAGTTCTGTGAGCAGCTCAGATGATGACTAGCTTTTGTTTGTCCCTCAGGGATGGTGGGACCTCTCTGTAGCTGCTGACCGGGTTCCTTTGCAGTCTCAAGCTCAGGCCCCATCAACCATAGGCTGGTTTGACCAGTTTTATCGACATAGCCTGTGTTGTTTGGGGTACAAGGCTGGTCCTTGCAGATCATCATCAACTGTGTGCAAAGATGCTTTTAACAAGGATGGTAGTCTTAGTTTATTTCGATTCAAAAACCTGTTTCCCAGCCTGCAGCGTGGTTGGGCTCACAGTCAGACTGGGAAACTACATGCTGTCCTGGAACGTGGCAGCAAATGCCTGGGTCACCGCTATGTCGCTAGCGGAGTGGCCTCAGCCAGGTCCCTCCACTGTACCTTAGTGTTCTTGCCTATAAAATGGGGATAATATCCTTTCACTTCTTCAGGCTCCTTGTGAGTCTTTTCTGCTGTCCAGCGAGGTGGGGGATGGTAGTGCAAACCCGCCAGTGGTGTGCATGAGAAGGCAGCATTCTGGCCACTTCAGGTGACGTGGGTGTGGCAGGGGCTGAGGAGTCAGAGGCTGACTTCTCCCCTGGGCCAGGGAGGGCCCAGGCTAACTAGGGAAGGGAGTAGAGCTGAGTCTTGGGGCCCCCTCACCTGCTTTAGGGTGGGGAGAGGAGGTGCACCTTATCTGTTCTAGCTGTGTGCAGCTCTCGCCATCGCTACCCTCCCGGGGGCCGTGGCACCCTCAGCAGAGAGTCCTGGAGCAGAACACGGGACAGGCAGCCCCATGCCGTGCTGACTGGGTTCTGGGACACTGCTTTGAGAACATTTCTAGCTTTGGTTGCGAGGTTCTTGCCACACTACAGAAAGAGAGTATCCCTGGGACAGCCCAACCCATTCCTAGTCTGGCTACTGTGCTTTTTCCAGTAAGAAATGAGGTGTCCCATGATGAGAGTCCACGGGGCAATGATGAGGATCCAGTCAGCCCCTCCCTGCTGTTCCGCTGTGCCCCGGAGAACCCCATCTGTGTCTCCGTGGATAGCATTGTGTGTTTGGGTAGAGATTATGATTTTTACTCCTGCAAGTACCAGACTGGTAGATTTAGAATATTTTCTGGGTTCTAGGAAATCCAGAAAGGACCCCTGACTTTTTTTTTTACTTTATATATCTATGCGCTGTCCGTATGGTAGCCACTAGCCATAGGTAGCTGTTTAAGTAACAGCTTACTGAATTTTAACTAAATTCAAGTTAGTTAAAACAAAAATTTAAATCCAGTTCCTCAATCACACCCGCCAATTTCAAGAGTTCAGTCAGCAGGTGGGGCCAGTGGCTCCTGCATTAAATGCAGATGACGGAAAGTTTCCACCGCGCAGAGAGTTCTGTTGAATAGCGCTGCAGGCATTCCTACTCAGAGAAAGACAAGTGGCAAACAAAAGCTACTCTGTTGCACGTTTTTTTTTCCCCCTCCTGTTCTTCACAGGGTAAAACACTTCTCAAAGGAAATACTTACTTCGGAGGAAGACTTGAGGTTCCCTGCATTGACACATTCCATTAGAAGGTTTCCCCCAGGGCGCACTCAACTGTTCAGCCACTCCTCACTTTTTGGCATATTATCAGGGACACAAGGTGCCCACTGCTTAGCCAAGGAATGGCTCCTTCCTGCCTGACTCCATACTCTGCGGGAAGGTGCCTATGGGAAAAGCATGAGCTTAGCAGCTTTCACAGCACTTTGTGACTCCTGAGTTGGAAAGAAAATTCTTACCACTCTTGATTTGCTGTTCATGCTGCTTATACTAAAAGAAGAAAAAAGAAAGCCTTGGATGAGCGAGATGCTTTCCTAGACTGTGGATCGCATTCTTTTCTGTCTTACGTAGTGGGGTCTCAGTGGCAGGGCCAGCACGAGGTGGGGCAAGGGAGGCACCCAGGGCACAGATTGAGGGAGATGCTCACGCTCCAGTGCCGACCTCTCACTTACAGGGGCCTGGGAGTGATTGTCTCCTTAAATGTTGTGTCCTGGGCACCTGGCTTGCCTCACCTAGCCCTGCTGAGGTTGGCTCTGTTTGAGCTCATTTACCGCTCACCCTAGCAGGCTCACTGTGTGCTTCTAGGGATTCTGGACTTGTGCATAGATGCACCTTTGTGCTATGTCTACACCTCTTCCCTGGCTGGAACCCCTCAGGTAGGGGCGGTATCTCTCTGCTCTTTGGATGCCTGGTCCAGAGTGGGGGGGACAGATGAGCAGCTGATGGATCAGTGAGCAAATCAGTCCACCAGGGATCATCAACTCGGTGAACCAGAGTCAAGAACTCTCCTGACTTAGACTTTTCCATGAACGGTTCAGAGAACATCCTGCCTTGTCACCTGCCAAGCCTCCCATTTCAGCACAGCTGAGTCCTCTCATCAGTGTGGCTGAGGATGGGCACTGTTCCCCCTACTTGTCCTTCCCCAGAGCTTCCGTCACCTTCAGTATCAGGCTGAGTTAATGGTGCCACCCCTACTCCACCCCTGCTTCCTCCAGAGTCCATGTCACGTGTCCTGGGAGCAGGTGGTGGAGCCTGGGTGTGCCAGGACTTGGGGAGGAATGGGGTAAAGAGGCAACTGCCTGGGGCCAGAAGTCTCCTTTGTGAACTCTGTGTGATGTGCTTCCTCTTTCTCTTCCGGCAGAGTGTACTAAAGAAGAGGGACCAAGTGCAAGCAGAGTATGAAGCCAAACTGGAAGCTGTGGCTCTGAGGAAGGAAGACCGCCCCAAGGTCAGGGAGGCCGCCCCGGGAGGGCTGGGCTCCTCAGGGCTGGAGCCATAACTGCCCCGCTGGTGCCAAGTGAAGTCTTGTCCCTAGATCCGTATGATGAAGGTGGTCAGCCCCAGCTGGGCTGTGTTCATGCTGTTACTGTCCTCTGTTTGTTCTCTTTGATGTCTTATTTCTGGGACTTTCTAACATGTACTTGGGGTTGAGTTTTCTGCTGTTTCTTCAGGGGTTTTTTTTGTTTTTGTTTTTTGGAGGTTTTTTTGGTTTGTTTTTGTTTTGTTTTGTTTACTTTCAGCTTTGCCATTCAGGGGCAGTTCCTCTCTCTGTAAAATGGGACTGAGGAGAAAGGGGGTAAGAACAGTCTAGATCACTGTTCTCAAAAGTGTGGTTTGCTAACTCATCCACTAACTGTTACTGATCCGTGACAAGAAAGGTGTAGAAGCTGAGAGTCAGCAGCTTCATAGCAATTTGGTATTTGTTGAACCTGCAGCAGGCGTGTTGTCAAACTAGCTCATGGGGAGCAAACTGTGTACTCGTTACGCATAGTAGGTCTACAACTTTGTCATACTGGGGGCGGAAAAAAGCCAGCAGACAGTGGTCCTTTGCCACAAAGTTTAAGAAGCACTGACTGAGTGTATGTATTTAAGGGCTCTGGGTCCAGACAGAGGATCCTAAGGTAAGTATGCATCAGTTGTATTGCCCTCTGTCATTTGTTGCCTTTTTCTCCCCAGGATAAAACCAAGATCAAAATAAGATTAATAAAAGCCAGCATGCAAGTGCTTACAAATGTGCTAAGCTCTTTACAGTATCTCACTGATTCCGTACAACAGTCATGTGGTTTGGGTACCATTGTTACTCCCACTGAGAGCTGAGCAAACCGAGGCCCACGACCTCACAGCCAAGTTACCACTATGTTACTGGGCTCCTTTCCTTTTTGTTTGTAATTGGAAGGTGTATCTGTTTTCAGAAAAGGGGTGGGGGCAGGGAATGTTATTAAAGAGATAAATCGCAGGGGCGCACAGTCCAGGGAAGTGGTTGGACACCAGAGCAGTTTGTCTCCCGCTGCCTTGGTTCTAGCCGCCCCTGCAGCCGTGCCGAGACGCACCTGGAAAGGAGCCCGCTTTGGAAAATTGAAACCCACGCCTCCGAAATGGCGCACCTTGACTCCGTATGGTACTTGCTTTGTATATATATGTGGATTGCTTCACGTGGTCACCACAGCAGTCACCTGGGGCCCAGAGGGAAGGCATTGTTCTTTCCCCATTTCGTGGGCGAGGAATGAGCCACGGAGCAGCTCCGTAAATTGCCTGGCTTTGCGGTTACCCGAGCTCTTCACCTGGCGTGCTGCACGCAGCGGGTGTGCAATACACGTTTGTTGCGTTGGTTCAGGTGTCACCCATAGGGACCTACGTGAGAGAGGGGAGGCCACGTACAGCTGCTGGAAAGTCAGGCGATAGGGATAGGGACTCCTGTCCTTGGCCCGGTGTGTGCCGCTGGGACTTGGCACCTCTCGTGCGTTCCTCTCGCCACAGGCTGTTGGCCTGCTTCCGTCCTGTGTGTCAGGAGGGGGGCCGTGATGGGGGTGCAGCTGTGTGCACGGCCACGCCCTGTCTTGTCTTCCGGCTGCCTGTTCCCTTGACTAGCTCCGAGCCGTTCCTGTGATATTCTGGAACACGGTGCCATTTAAAGGGACATCAAATACTGTGTTTATATATCTCGAAGTTTCTTTCTGTCTTTTTTTTTTTTTTTAAAGTAGGCTCCACGCTGGGCTTACACTCATGACCCTGAGATCAAGAGTCGGACGCTTAACTGACTGAGCCACCGAGGCGCCCCTTGAAATTTCATTCTAACAATTTTGCTTTCCAACATAAATATAGAAGCCACTTTACCTGGCGAGGGAGGGACGGGGGGGGGGGGGACAGCAAGTTCTGCTGCTGGCCTAGTTTGGGAGATGGAGATCCTGTATTTAAAAGATGTTCTGCCAGCATTCATCCTTGCTCATCACTGAATACAAGCTTTGTCTCAGAGGCTGGTTTGTCATTTAATATATGTTTTGCTCTGTACGGAACAGTTCCTTTGTGAAGACAGGACCTGGAGGTTATGAATAATAGGCCAAACAGAAAGCTGACTGTTCCTTGGCTTGCCGGCTGCCCGAGGGTCGCACCGCCTCGGAGCGGATGGGGCCGAGCTCCCACATGCCACCCAGCCGAGCTGCTGGGGCTCCTGCCTCGTGGCTGTACACCGCCTACGGGCCTGGGTGACGCCTCTTCTCCTCCCAGTGGGTGTGGAAATCTAGCTGCTGCCGTTTTCACCTTCCTGGAGCATCACCGTATGACTCCTTCTCTTGACCACAGGCGTTCTTAGAAGAGGGGGGCAGGGCTTCTTTCCAGCCAGCGAGACTAGCCAGTAGGTCTAACCATGCCTGCATTCTCTCAGCACACTGGGGGTAGGCAGTCTTGGTCTTCCCTCTTTCTTCTTTCTGGTGGGATGCTGAGCCACGTCCATGTTAATGTCCCCTTATTTAGCAATTGTGCTTAATTAACAAAACGGGGGCTGTCGCGATGGTGGTGCCCCAGTGAGTGTGGTCTCACTGGAGCCACGGGTTTTGAATCTGGGGCAGCGGCTACTTTGGTAGGCAGTGGAGGGCTCCATTGGTGGCCCCCCCAAGTGGGTAAGGGTTTGGTTGAAAGAGCACAGGATTTAGACTCAGATGGCCCTGGGTTCAAATCCCAGCTCTGTCCTCCAGCTTGGATTGGTTTGCTCATTAGACCTTGTGGGTTGCATCCACGGGACTGCCGTGAAGGTCGGTGTAGTGTCTGAGGTGGGGACAGAGGCCCCACGGTGGAGCCTCTGCTTCCCATACTAGCTCCACTTGTCTCTGGGAGGAATGCTGACTGCGAACTTTGTTTTCCTGGCTTGTTGCCCTTATGGCTTTTTTTCTTTTTTTTTAATTCAGCTTTTTTTTTTTTTTTTTTTTGGCTGCACTGTTTGGGCATGGTTACCTTGTGTCCTAAAGATTCCCCTGCTTTCCCAGCCCTCCCGAATGCCTGTCCTCCCTAACAACCCATCAGCAGGTAGAGAGACATCTCTCTCAGACGTCACAAGTAGCCAAACGTTTTGCTGTGTTTCATTTTGTGTGATTTGGGGCTCCGCTTCCCAGAGCTGCTGTTGGCGAGAGAAGAGCCAGGGTGTCAGCAAGTGGGTCAGGGCAGATTCTTACCCCGAGGACCCAGTGGGCTCCGCTGTCTGTGAGGGGGGCGGGAGCAAGATGGCTCACAGGTTGGCCCCGGGAATGCTGGGAAGGAGAGGATTCTTACCCGAAGACGGGCAGTTTTTACAGGGCTCTGGGCACGTTAACAGCATCTGAGGGACTTAGCAAGCCTGGGGGCTTACCTTGTTTTGAGGCTGAAGTCTTGAAAAGTTGCTCTAAAGGGGGGCGCCTGGGTGGCTCAGTCATTAAGCGTCTGCCTTCGGCTCAGGTCGTGATCCCAGGGTCCTGGGATCGAGCCCCGCATCGGGCTTCCTGCTCGGCGGAGAGCCTGCTTCTCCCTCTCCCACTCCCCCTGCTTGTGTTCCCTCTCTCGCAGTCTCTCTCTCTGTCAAATAAATAAATAAAATCTTAAAAAAAAAAAAAAAGAAAAGTTGCTCTAAAGAGAGAGGGAAAGGTGATTTCTGTGAAGCCGTGGAGTGGTACCAGAATCTGATCACTTCTCCAAAACCCAGAAGAAAGAAATGGCCTTGTGGGTCTCCACGGCCCTCACTGCGAATTTCACACCGGAGAGGCTGCGTGAGGGGGAAGGAGAGGTGTCCTGTGGCCCCCGCTGCTGACCGCGGCTTGGCTGTGCGCAGGGATGAGGCCGAGAGTCTCACAGAATTTAAAGTTTCGCTTTGGTTTTGGGTTGAGAAAAGTCAGCAGAGCCTGAGGTGGTTTCTTCTCAGGCGAGTAGACCTTCAGCTTGCATAGACTTGGCCTGCCTTGTTTGAACTCTGAGGTCAGAGAAATTACAGGCACTTAGTGGGCTGCCTTCTGATGCACTTTTCAGGACCCCAGGCTTGTGTAAATCTGATACCCCTTAGAGGCCAGTGGGGTATCAGAGCTGTTACTAGACGCAAAGAGGGGCCGAGGAATTGCATTTAAAACTGGACTGGAAGCTCACACTAACAAGAACAATAAGAGTAAACCATGGAGGGAAGTTGCACGTTTAACTCCATTCTGTGATGGACTCTTTCCAATACTAATCTATTTATGTGATTCCAGAAAGAACAAAGGGATGTCAAGGGAGAATGCTTTATAAAAATCTTACAGTTATCTTCAAAAGACTAAGAAAAGGGGAGGGGAGGGGAGAAGAATGCCATTTTAGGCCCCGGCCCACAGGTGGCCTTGTAGTAGGTCTGGCGCTAGGTGAAGAAGCTGCTGGAAACAGGGAGTGTCATCTTGCTGATGAGAAGGTGCGTCACGTGGAGGTGGGTGGGAGCAGAGAACAGGATGTACTGAGCTGTTGCTTCTCGGGGTGAGCAGAAGTAGGGAAGGGAAGTGGGACTTGGGATCACTTGGGCACACCTCTTGAAGACCATGGACCTTTCAGAGCTCTTAAAACCCCCAGCATGGTGACCATTCTGGGCTGGGGAATGTGGCAGGGAGCAAGAACTCTAGTTCTAAAGCAAGATGGGGGCAAGGGGACTTCTTCATGTGGAGCTTCTACAGACCTGAGAGTTTTGCAAAATCATCTGTCATTTTCAGACTCTTTGGACGAATGAGGAGAGACATGCCTGATGTCTCCCCATTCTCTTCATGGTGGCCACGTTCCCAGCCTGGGATAGAAAGCCAGAGGTCACGTCAGCCAAGGAAGGGCAGGACTCTGTCACTTCCCTTACATAGTTCCTACAACACCTTCTATAATGTGGTTATTCCCGTTGTACAGAGGAGGAACCCGGGCTCAGGGGAATTACATAGTATACGTGCCAAAGCTAACAAGTGGTGGAACTGGACTTGGCCCTCGGAT